ATTTCCTTGCCACTAGATAAGAAATCAAATGGCGTGAGAGAAAATGGAAAAGAAGGCTTTATCAATTAATACTTGACTACCATAAATTATTGGATGACTAGAAATCTTGATAAAATTTTAAAGACTTGAAGAAGGAATCGGTCATATATTTTAAAAATTTTTAACCAAATAAATTTCGAATCCTCGAAAAATCTCAATTAATCTTAAATAGACACTAATGTCTAAATAATTTAATTATCTCGAAATATTCTTGATTTCCATTAATTCGGCAATTTGAAATAATAAATTCCCAACTTATGAAGTCCATTTCTAAAAAAAATAGACGGACCGTAATTTAATTAGTAAACTAGCTCGATTTCATAATAAAGTTTAATCGAGAATACTTTCGACTTAAAGTCGAACTTATAACTGGATAACTTAATAACTGAGCTCAGAACTAGGAATGAGCATTATTAATTAAAGTAAATTAGTTCAAACTCGGAACTAAAACTGTTACTTTCTTAATAACTGAGAGGGATATTACAAAGGCTGTAACAATGTCCCTGAGGGGACGGATGCCAAGACCACCCTCGAGGAGGGGGCGACAGATGGAGTCCCAACTCACCCAGTGGGTGCGTCTCCCCCTCCTAGAACCGTCCTCGTAATCCCAGAAACAACGAGCCATAATCTGGTCTATCTCGTCAAGAGTAGACCTAGGGGGGTCGAGGACCATAAGCAAGTGAATCGGAAGAGAGCTAAGAGTGTTCTTGATCAGCGCAAGCCGACCACCGAAAGAAAGATGTCTATGCGACCAACCAGAGATCCTATCGATCATCCTCTGCCTGACACCCGCAAAGAGCGCTCTCGTGAGGTTGCCCTTATGTAAAGGGACGCCAAGGTAGGTAATTGGAAGATTGCCACGCGCAAAGCCAGTAATGTCGTGGACCCGCTGAGCCCACCTGGCCACGTTGGAAGAGGAGAGAGTGAATGTGCTCTTCTGCACACTGACCAGCTGACCGGTAACCGAGGCATAGTGCTCCAAAAGGCGCATGAGCTCGACCAGTCCATCATCATCCGCCCGGGTGAAGATGATGATGTCATCCGCGTAAGAGAGGTAAGAGATGGGAGGACCATAGCCACGGGTGCTATACGTCATATGAGGAAAGTCGCGGATGAAACCGTCAAGGCAGCGAGAGAGGTAGTCCACCGCAAGGACGAAAAGGGAGGGGGACAGGGGGTCGCCCTGTCTAAGGCCTCTAGATGAGAGAAAGAAATCGGTGGAGCTGCCATTGACCAGGACCGAGAACGTGCAGTGCTCCACGCACGCCTCGACAAAACTGATCCAACGGTCAGGGAATCCCATCCTAGCCAGGGCCTCCCTAAGAAACGGCCACTCTACCCTTTCATACGCCTTAGCCATATCTAGCTTCAGCGCGATATTCGGAGCCTGCTTTCAGTCCGCACGAGAGATGTCGTGGATCATCTCCTGGGCCAAAAGGATGTTATCACTAATGACCCGATCCTTGACGAATCCACTCGGGTTCGGAGAGATGAGGGAGGGGAGGAGAGGGGAAAGACGGCCGTTAAGGATCTTCGAAATGAGCTTGTTGGTCACGTTACACAGGCTGATGGGCCTGTAATCGGACCAAGAGCTCGGGTTGGGTCTTTTGGGGATCAAGACGACAGAGGTAGACGTGAAGGAATCCAGCATCCGGTGGCCGGAGAAAAAATCCAACATCGCCTCCTCGACGTCAATCTCGACAAGATCCCAATAGACCTGATAGAAGAGGGAAGAGAAACCATCCGGGCCAGAAACGCCGTTGGGATCAATCCCGAATACAGCATCCCTAACCTCCTCCCTACTCGGGAGCTCATAGAGGCCAACGAGATCGACCGAAGGAGAGATGGTGGGGAAAAGAGAAGTGGTCGGGGCCACAAGGGACCCTCTGTCAAAGGTGAAGAGGGTCTGGAAGTGAGCAACAGCCGACTCCCAAATCTGAGGCTCCTGGGTCAAGGATGACCCATCAGCCTCGATACTATGGATGTACGACTTAGCACGCTTCTGCCTAACGTAGCCCTGGAAGAACCTAGTATTCCGCTCGCCCTCGGCCACCCAGCGAACGGCCGCCTTCTGCTTCCAGAAGTCCTCCTCCATAAGGAGTCGAAGCTGGTACTCGGCGTGGCAGCGGTGCATGGCAGTCCTATTCTCCGGAGTGGGGTCCAGGTCATAGGCCTGCTCAGCCGTCGCGTGCGCACTCTGAGCCACAGCAAGGCGCTGATGAAGGTTTCCAAAAACATCCCAGTTCCACTGTCTCAACCGACGCCGCAGTCTGCCGAGCTTCATCTCGAGATTGCGCATCCCGAAGAGCCCAGTCGGCTGAAGCCAGAAATCCCTGACAGTGTCATGGAAGGAGTGGTGGCGAACCCACATGTTCTGGAACCTAAATGAGGAGCGGCGGGGGGTGCTCGAAAATCGGCACCGGATGAGAAGGAGTGAATGGTCAGACCCAAATCGAGTAAGGTGTGTGACAGTCGTAACCGCAAACAACTTCGCCCACGCCTCAGAAACCAAGGCACGGTCTAACCTCTCTTTTGAGTCCGTCCCTCACCCACGTGAAGGGCTCACCATTACATCCAGCATCAATTAACTCGCAGTCCGCCACCGCTTGAGCAAAATTCCACATCTCCCGTGACCGGTCCGTACGGCCACCCACACGCTCATCGGGATGCAGAAAGATGTTGAAATCGCCACTAACCATCCATGGCAATCCCTCTATACTCTCGGCAATCTCACGCAAGGTGTCCTAAAGGTCATATCGCCCGATCCTAGTACACTTGGCATAAACCAAGGTGTGAAAGATGGGCTCTGGGAGGTGGGCAGCAGAAAGCTCAACGTGAAGCACCTGATCGGTGTCGCGGAGGACCCGACAAGTGTAGTCACGCGAGTGGAAGAACCAGATCTTATGCGAAATATTACCCACGCCCGAGTGGAAGCCAAGACGACGCGAGTAGTAGTCAAAAGAAGGTGTGCGGATCATCGGCTCAATAAAGCCAACAAAATCGACTATGTGATCACGAATGAGAGAGTGAAGGTGAGAGAGAGTAGCCCTATTCACCAGGCCACGGCCATTCCAAGTAATGGATGTGATGGACATATCAACGGTCGCAAGAGCCACCGGACGGAGTCCGTCTATGGCGAGGCTGAGTCGGGCCACCTAAAGAAGGCATGCGGCGGAAGGATCCAATAGCAGGGGAGATCGTCCGGCATGTCGTGCGCTACGTGGCTCTGGTCCACGTGGGCTGTCTGCCTCGGTATGTGCTCATGGCCTGTGAGTCGTCAGGCTGGCCAGACTGATCTATAGCAGCACTAGCGGGTTGCCCCATCTCCGGGGCAGTCTCCTGTCTGTCGTAGTGAACGAAGGCACTAGAGGCGAAGCTCTCGCATGAGACGTCATGCTGAGCGCGGTTAAGCCCGCATACCTGCTCGGGTATGGGTGAAAGAGAGGAACCAGCGGTCGGAGCACTCGGGTGCTCGCCGCCAGAAGGAGGCTGGGAGCTGGCTATATGCTCAGCCGAGCTATCAATCTCAGCAGGGAGGAGATGGGCTGACTCATCCCCTTTCGGGGTAGCGGTGACGGCAGTAGCCCTCACATCCGAAGATCTGATCGGGCTAGATACGCGCACAGTAAAAGGACCGGCATCGCGCGCACTGTCATCGGATAGGTGGATGGACTCTTCCATGGGCGTGGCGTTCGGCTGGTCCATATCGTCTCCGAGGAGGTCGTCGTCATTCAGAAGCGTAAGATCGGTAATCTTAGGTGGTCCGCTGGAGGAAGCCACAGCCTCCTTCTCTGCCTCTGGAGAGAGAATAGGAAAATATAGCCTCCTTCTCTGCCTCCGGAGAGAGAATAGGAAAATACGAGTGGTTGTCCTTGAAGGCCGACTGTAAGGTCTGTCTGGGGAGAAAGCCCGTGGACTTGGGCTTGGGCCCTACTAAGTTTGGGCAGTATCGACAATCACAGCCTTGCCCTTATCCTTAGACCCCTTCGGGGTCTCGGGCACGCGGAGAGGGCTTTTGCCCTTTCCCTTCGGATCCCTCCGGCTGGTGGAGGGTCCCAGCTGGGTCGCGCGGTGGCGCTGCGGGAGAATGGGTCATGGCTAGGTTAGTTGTATTTTGTTGCTAGGTTATTTCTTTCTTGCTGCTAGGTTAGTTTTCTGATGCTGCTAGGTTAGTTGTATTTTATTGCTGCTAGGTTAGTTGTTTGATGCTGCTAGGTTAGTTGTCTTTTGTTGCTTTGTTTTTTTTTTGTAAAAAATTGCAACCCATAGGATTTGAACCTGGTACCTCATGGAAGCAAGACAAGCAATGCAACCACTACACAACTCAAGGTTGAGTGTCTTTTGTTGCTAGGTTATTTATTTCAATGCAACGGGTCAACGCTGGAGTCAACGCCGGAAGTCAACGATCAAAGCCAGAAGTCAACGATTTTTGCCGGAAGTCAACGCCGGAGTCAACGGTCAACGCCGGAGTCAACTAATAATTATTTTATTATTTAATTAATGTATATTTTAATTGATTTTGATCTAGACAAAATGAATGGCTAAGATTGAGTCTCACGTACTCATTTTAAGGAGTGGTCTCATTGGATCCGTCCCCTATATATATTTTAAAAAAAAGTAATAATGATAAAAAAATATAGTAATTGGTTCAAAACAATAGCTTAATAATGAAATCATATTTGATACGAGTCACTTCTAATTAAAAGGATTGAAGGTTTCCCAACCCACAGAACTAGAAGTTGTGGTCATTCATGTTTGGTAAAAATGGGACTATAGAGCTAGTGACAAAATGATATATGGATCGAAATAATGAGTCAACACATTTGTACTTGCAATTTTCATTACATAGATCATAAGATCAACAAAATCAAACTTGCAACAGCCAAATTTATCGTGACTGGATAATAAAAAAGCACATAATAATTTTATAAATGTTTGAGAAACAATAATGGATCAAACTTGGTTCTTACAACCTTCTTTCTTTCTTTCTTTCTTTATGGAGATAGATAGATAGATGATATGGTACTCAAAAGGGTTTAGAGGGAAGGGTTTGGTTTTCGAGAAAATGTTGGAAGAGCTGAAGGGCTTCTCTTGGCTTGAAAGTAGGAACTTGATGCCCAGCTCCCCTTACACTCACAAACGTTAAACCATCATACTCAACTGTCCATCCACCCACCTGCATAAGTAATAATATCATCATATCAAGTTTATGCTAATTAATTTCTAAAGCATGTAATTAATTAATTAATTTTCTATATGAGTAATGTATATATACCTGTTGGTTGTTAGTATACCATGCAGTCCAATCATGTTTCACCCGCAAACCCAACTTTCTTAAACTGTACCTCGTCGCTGTAACTGGCACTCTACCATCTGTATCTCCGCTATACATTCATTCATCTCATTTTTATTAATTACTTTCAAGCATCGCAATACAATTAACAACTAATTTTTAAACTATATATTTACATATATTGATTATTTTCTAACTACCTGTAAACCCAAATGCGTAGCCCCGCAGCAATAAGTTGTCTCAGAATAGGGAGTATGGAGAAAGGAGCGTCTTTCCACTTCTCAATGGCATCGCTGATATATATAATATCATGGACCAACACTAACTAATTAATTAACCTTACTCAAATTCGTACAAATAAAATTATTATTAGTTACCTCATACCTGCAACTTGTCCAGGGATAACGAAGTCCAGTGACATTAGCATGAAGAGCACGTTGGACATCCGCTCGGTTAAAATAAACATCAGTATACAAAAAGGCACAAGGGTCGTACCCAGATAACGGCCTCCTTCTTCCATACTAGCCAATTATTCAATTATCATAAATACACAAAAAAAAAAGTTAAATGGTAATAATATTGGACAACAATTAATGATCAAATAACAATAAACCATCACCAACTCACAATATTTTTAGTTAAAAATCTGGAAACACCAAAGGGTTTGGAAATGGTGGTACCAATGTTATCATCAACACAAACAGGGGCATACAAACTGTACATATCTATGATGTCATACACATCAAAGTACTTATCCAATCCATGATTGCATTCCTTGGTCAAGTTTAAGCTACTGAAATCACATTCTTTCTTAATCTCATCATACACTGCATCCGATATAACCGCATGGTCCCACGCATACTCTATCATTCCTTTTTGGTCTGTTTCATCATCCAGCTCTGCATTCCCTATCTGCCCAAATTTACACATTAATTAATCCATCTTATTATACTTATTGACCCTACAGATATCTATAGTAAAATAACTAAAAGCACTAGTAACTGAGAAAATCCATACCAAAATTCCTTTGATGTTAATCAAGTGGTCTTTAAGTGCAATTTTGTTTTTCTCAACAACAAGGTTCGCAAGCTGAGGGACATAATGGCCTAAGATATTCGATGAACAATATATTAAAAGAAATCAATAAAAAATAAAAACATGTGTAATTATTTGTGATCATGTAGATATATAGTACATTAATACAACTTTAGTTAGTTACGTACCTCCGTAACTTTCCCCAGCAATGTAGAAGTCGTGAGATTTATATTGTGGGAACCTTTGGAACCAACTCACCAAAAAGTTGTAGGAATCGGAAGCTAATTTAATAACACAAAGGAATATATTTGTTATGTCAGTAAATAATGAATGAATTTAGTGTTAAGTATGATGTGAGTATAAAGAGTAAATAGGATAATGGTAATTACCTGTCATGTTGTCACCAAGGTGACTGAGATCACTAGTTGTGTTTGTATATGAGAATCCAACGCCAACGGGAGATTCCAAAAACAGTAAATTGGCCGCTGCAGTCAAATAATTATCATGCAAAGGACAAATAAACAAGTCATTATAGATCGGAATAGGGATTAAATATATTATATAATTGTTTTGTGACTTGTGATCAGTACCTTTGTTCCATGTATGGTTGTTGAACTTGAGCTCTGGCTTCGTCCCTTTCTGAGGAAAGAAAGGTCCCAGCTCTAGTGATTGCCCAAAGCCTATTGATGAGCATCCAGGACCTGAATAAAAACATATATATATATATATATATATAATTCTCAATATGATCAATGGTAACTATAATGTTTCATTTAATTATTTTCTATTAAATCTTCTTAATTTAAATAAAGTGAATTACTGAATGTTTAATCATGGTATGGTTGAGAAAGAATTTCATTTCTTATATGACTCGTGAAACATTAACGCAAAGGGTACACTACTTGATTTAAATATTTGTATCAATTAGTGTATAATGGTGATTATTAACTAAAAAAATAAAATAAAATAAAATGAAAATTGTGGAAATAACCACTTGTTTAATTATTTAATTACCTCCGTTGAGCCAAAGGACGAGAGGTTTGTTTTGTGGTTTGTTGATGGCTTCAAAAAACCAATAAAAGAGGGCTCTGCCATTAGGTTGGTTAACAGTGACATAGCCGGCATAATGATTGAAACTGACAGATGGCTGTCCGGGCAACCCGCTGACATGGTCCGCCACCTGCTGCGGCGGTATGGGAAATGGTGAACTACATTCCCACATACCCATTACCACCATCACCACTGCTAATAAACCTCCAACAAAATTCATCTTAATAATTTTATTTTACTTAATCACGAATGTTATGTTATGTATATATAACTAATCGTATCGCCATATATAAGGAAATGCCAGGTTACAATGAATTATTACTATGTATCTCTCTCTCTCTCAGATCAAATGCTTGGCAATTAACAATTCCTTTTTTGACTTCATTATTCCATTTATGCCCTTATAATCATGCAATCAACTCATTATTATTGACCAAAATTTTGACTATTTGTACACTTATTATGAGTCATGCTTACTTTAAACTGCTAATTCTTGCAATGACAAAAAATCAACTCATTAATATTGACTAAAGTTTTGATTATTTGTAAACACTTATGACTTATGAGTCATGCGCACTTTGAATTGCTATTTCTTTGCAATGAAGAAAATTGGTGCTGAATTTGGTACATAACAAACGTAATTTTTGACTGCTAGTATGTTTGCCAGTTTATTAAGAATTTCTACTTGTAGTCGAAATTCTATATTAATTAGTAATTGTTTATATTTTTTTTTATTTATTTGAGTTGGAAACGAATTTCAGCATAAAAAACCATTCGTTTCCATGCTCTAGAGGCCGTCGCCTCTTGCAGAACAGCACACGTTCTTGTCATTGTCGAGCAGCTCCAGTTTGTACGGCACAAAAGTGATAATCTATCTATCTATAACTCTATTAAAAGGAAGAGTAGTTTCTTGAAACTTTTGCATTGTCAAGAATGCTTTTACTAATGATAAGTTTTAAGGTTATTATTGTAATTTTTCGTATTAAAGTTATAATGTTAGAACTAACACTATTTCTTAATCTGAATATCCTCTTGCCCACCTCACCTGGTTCCCCCATTGATGGCGAGCAAATAAGAAAACCCTAGACCCCAAATAATTTAAATACCGAACTAAAGAAATGGCAATTAGGGGAAGAAAGTTGCTGAGGAGTAACACAGAATCTCAAACTACAAAATCTGGGAATGATTGAATGATGATGAAATGGATTGAAGCTCTCAACGAGAGGATCGGCCGCTCTCAACGAGAGAATTCCATAAATTAGTTTCTAAACTTAAGGAGTGATTTAGTTAAAAACCGTTTTACAGTAAATTTATTGAGCCATCGAATGACTCCCTTATGGAGTCATCCATAACTTTATGTATTGACACGTGTCCAATGTGTATTTATTGCAGGACACGTGTCAATACACCATTTGCGGATAACAATGGATGGCTCCATAAGCCGAGTCATCCGATGGCTCCATAGCAAAACCGTTAGTTTTTAAACCTCCATTTCATAATTTACTTTAATTCATTAATTTTTTTATATTTAATTATATCTTTAAGTTTTTACACATACCAAAAGTTGATCTATGCAAATTTATGGATTTTAAATAAATAACTTATTCGACAAACGACATTAGGTTACCGTTTGGTTATTTTAAATGTAGTTGTAAATGTAAGAGAAAAAATTATTTTCAGATTTTTTTAAATAAAATATATTTTATTTTATAAATGTAAAATATATAATGCACCAAGGAAAGTATCATCTCTAACTTCTAAATATCATATACTATAGAGATTTTTCGTTATAGTATTAAAAAATATTAAATATGAACAGTTTAGTTAGCATGCATATATATATATAGGGATTGGTTCCAATGCATCCACTTATTTAAAGTGAGGACGTGAGACTCATTTTTAGCCACAAGATTTGGTACACATCATGTATGGCCAAGATTTACTCGTTTCTTTTTATTATTTTATTTATTTAAATATTATTTTGACCCGTTGACTCCGGCGTTGACCGTTGACTTTCGGCGTTGACTTCCGTCGAAATTCGTTGACTTTTGGCGTTGACCGTTGACTTCTGGCGTTGACTCCGGCGTTGACCGTTGACAACTAACCTTCCAACTAGGTTAGTTCTCTGTAGTTGCTAGGTTAGTTCTTTGTAGTTGCTAGGTTAGTAGTTGCTAGGTTAGTTCTCTGTAGTTGCTAGGTTAGTTCTCTATAGTTGCTAGGTTATTTTTCTGATGTTGCTTGGTTAATTGTCTGTAGTTGCTAGGTTAGTTGTCTTTTGTTGCTAGGTTAGTTCTTTCTTGCTGCTAGGTTAGTTGTCTGATGCTGCTAGGTTAGTTGTGTTTTGTTACTAGGTTAGTTGTCTGTTGTTGCAGACTGAGTGTCAGAAGCAGTACTAAGAGTGTATTTAATGCAGCCAAAGGTAGATGTGAGATGTCGACAATAATGATTACACTTGAATTACGGCCATGTTTACCGATTGTGCTAGTGGCAGTTGCATAATTGGTGGTAAGAGAGACGGTGATTATGGGTTATATCAATGATATAATCAGACAGAACAAATCAAACCAACAAATTAAGTTGCACTAGAGCAGTGGATGCGATTTAGTTATTCAGACTTTAGTCAATGCATTTGATTAGCCTATTCACTTTATAGTAGGAGATTTTGAGATTAATCAGTTGATAATCAGTCCTTCTCAAGAATGAGAAAAGCTTAAGACTGCGCGGAGTTCGCAAAAGTCTTCAGCAGATAAGCATAGACGAGAAATGCAGTTTAAAGTAGGAGAAAAAGTATTCCTGAAAGTTCGACAGATGTGAAGTGTCGGAAAGAAATGAAAGTTACATCCTAGTTATAAGTCCATTAGAAATTCTAGAACGAGAGGGAGAAACTTTATGCCAAGTCCTTCAAGTGTGAAATTTTGGGATTATAGAAACAAAGAAGGCATGCGGCGGAAGGATCCAATAGCAGGGGAGATCGTCCGGCATGTCGTGCGCTACGTGGCTCTGGTCCACGTGGGCTGTCTGCCTCGGTATGTGCTCATGGCCTGTGAGTCGTCAGGCTGGCCAGACTGATCTATAGCAGCACTAGCGGGTTGCCCCATCTCCGGGGTAGTCTCCTGTCTGTCGTAGTGAACGAAGGCACTAGAGGCGAAGCTCTCGCATGAGACGTCATGCTGAGCGCGGTTAAGCCCGCATACCTGCTCGGGTATGGGTGAAAGAGAGGAACCAGCGGTCGGAGCACTCGGGTGCTCGCCGCCAGAAGGAGGCTGGGAGCTGGCTATATGCTCAGCCGAGCTATCAATCTCAGCAGGGAGGAGATGGGCTGACTCATCCCCTTTCGGGGTAGCGGTGACGGCAGTAGCCCTCACATCCGAAGATCTGATCGGGCTAGATACGCGCACAGTAAAAGGACCGGCATCGCGCGCACTGTCATCGGATAGGTGGATGGACTCTCCCATGGGCGTGGCGTTCGGCTGGTCCATATCGTCTCCGAGGAGGTCGTCGTCATTCAGAAGCGTAAGATCGGTAATCTTAGGTGGTCCGCTGGAGGAAGCCACAGCCTCCTTCTCTGCCTCTGGAGAGAGAATAGGAAAATATAGCCTCCTTCTCTGCCTCCGGAGAGAGAATAGGAAAATACGAGTGGTTGTCCTTGAAGGCCGACTGTAAGGTCTGTCTGGGGAGAAAGCCCGTGGACTTGGGCTTGGGCCCTACTAAGTTTGGGCAGTATCGACAATCACAGCCTTGCCCTTATCCTTAGACCCCTTCGGGGTCTCGGGCACGCGGAGAGGGCTTTTGCCCTTTCCCTTCGGATCCCTCCGGCTGGTGGAGGGTCCCAGCTGGGTCGCGCGGTGGCGCTGCGGGAGAATGGGTCATGGCTAGGTTAGTTGTATTTTGTTGCTAGGTTATTTCTTTCTTGCTGCTAGGTTAGTTTTCTGATGCTGCTAGGTTAGTTGTATTTTATTGCTGCTAGGTTAGTTGTTTGATGCTGCTAGGTTAGTTGTCTTTTGTTGCTTTGTTTTTTTTTTGTAAAAAATTGCAACCCATAGGATTTGAACCTGGTACCTCATGGAAGCAAGACAAGCAATGCAACCACTACACAACTCAAGGTTGAGTGTCTTTTGTTGCTAGGTTATTTATTTCAATGCAACGGGTCAACGCTGGAGTCAACGCCGGAAGTCAACGATCAAAGCCAGAAGTCAACGATTTTTGCCGGAAGTCAACGCCGGAGTCAACGGTCAACGCCGGAGTCAACTAATAATTATTTTATTATTTAATTAATGTATATTTTAATTGATTTTGATCTAGACAAAATGAATGGCTAAGATTGAGTCTCACGTACTCATTTTAAGGAGTGGTCTCATTGGATCCGTCCCCTATATATATATTAAAAAAAAGTAATAATGATAAAAAAATATAGTAATTGGTTCAAAACAATAGCTTAATAATGAAATCATATTTGATACGAGTCACTT